TTTTTGGGGGGGGGGGGGGGACGGGAAAGGGACGGGGAGAGGTTTTTTGGTCCCTTCCACAACAATTTTTTGGTCTCCTCTTGGGTTGATGATATGCAGCGCAGGTTCACAACTAAAGACTTAGAAAAACATGAAGCGATAAAAGTGACATGATGCCTGCTCGTAAAGCTGAGTACTTCGCTTTCACTTTCCTTGTATCATAATGTAAGATTTGTTTTACATTTCCGGATAAAAGCAAAGCCAGGGGCGTTGGTGCAAAATTTCAGCTTTCTGTCTTGGAGAGTTACATCGCGCCTGGAGTTACACACATACGGTGATAGTGCTCTTGACAAAATGAGTTTTATGCAAAAATGAATTAAAACAGGTGGAAGTCGTCGTAGATTGATGTATGTTGTCTTCTCAAGCCACTTGTATAAAGCAGTGGTTGCCTATAACAGGGCATATACTTTCTTAATAGTGATTTTGGATATGAACTTAGTTACAGCGCTTCACGTTTAGCAGTATGCAGCTTGGTTTTGATTCAGTGAAGCAGCGAATATTTTAGAATACCAAATAGAAAAACCGGCAAAATGCATCTTTTTGAGAGCCATTCAGTTCAGGACTTAACCAGTGTACTCGGAATACCTTGATCATCTGCTTTTATGCAGCTTGTAATTTTTTAGTTGCTGCTTCAGTTGATGACGATCAGCCTGCTGACGATCCTGACATTCGTTTTGTCTCCTAATGAGTTTGAATTGATTAGTACTACTAGGTCCTGTTGCCGGGACTCTGTCAGTATTAGCATTTATAGGGATTGAAACCTCCATTAGTCAATCTACAATGAAAAGAGCCATTGACAGGTTTGTTTAATGATAAGTTCTGGAAGACAGAGAAGTTTCATGCCGCTTTCCGGAAGATTAATCACTGCTGAAAGGAGTTTTTGATTCAACAGCTACTTGATTTGAGGGAAAAAGGTCGAAAAGCACAGAGCCAGAACATTATTTACTTTCGTTGTTGCTACTGCATCCCCAGATTTCAATGGAAGTTTTTTTCCAGAATTCTTCCTGAGAACTTTCCTTTTGTCTCGGTAGTTTACCTATGTGAATGTGTGTGGGAATGTATATGAATGTCGGTGAGTGTGTACTGGGAATATGTATGTGAATGTCGGTCGGTTTATGTGGAATGGTATATGAATTTTAACTAGGGTATGTGAAAAAGGGACAAGCATGAAGATATGATGGACATATTGGTCGATCGATCCGCGTGCTTTATTAGCGATCCTGAACTAATCCATCATAGTCTGGCTAAATGCGCTAGCTTCTTCAAATTGTTCGGATGAAAAACTTGTTAACGAAGAGTTAAAATCATTTCTTTCACATACACACAGACACAAACATGCACACACAGACACAAACATGCATGCACGCCCACCATGAGCAATGTGTAAGTTTTTCGCAAAAGCTAAAGGGGGTGGGAAGTAAGCAGAACTTGATCGATGAATGGAAGACCCGGAGAAGTAGTGTCCGTAAGCCTGTCTAACCGACAGCTACCCGTCACTGCATCTAGTAAGACAGCATAGCTGCTTCTGCTGCTCCTTGCGCTGCTACTGCTCTAGCATCCTGAAAATTATCAGCGGTTGAGTTATCACTCGCCTCAAGAGTGCCGATGCGGCTGCTATTGCTGCTGCTGATATTGCTGTTTCATGTGTAATGATTGAAAAATAATTCATGAAAAATTTAAAAAGCACCATTTTTATTCAATTTCATTTGCATCTGTAATTCGTGAAAATTTGCCAAACAAATCGCCTAGATTAAGGCAAACGATCTATTTGTCGTGAAGCAAAACGAGTGATTTTTTTTTCTTTCTGGATCAAGATAGCTAAGGGATACTTGAACGTGTCTTAGCAGCTATCTTTTCTATTCTGCTATTGCTGTTTGATTCTATTTGAATTATTTTCATTCGCTGTTTGTTACTGTTTCACTGACCAATGTCTGATGAGGGAAGAACGGTGGATGGTGAGGGAAAACCGCTCCAGACAGTTGCTGCTGATGAAAACGATGGCCGTAGCGGTCGGGAACCATCACGGCCATCGCCACCAGCGGCATCTTCACAGTCGGAACGTTCGTTTAATCTGATAACTCCACCAGCAGCAGCGGCATCCGATGAAACGCACCGTGCTCCACTAGCGGAACCCGAAACAACCGAACAGCATCACCACCCCCAGCACCATAATCCGAAACATCGTGAAAGCATCTGGGATACATATGTCCAAATGACTGATGATACGGTGCGCAAACGACGGATGAGTCGTCGACAGGAAAGTCTGGTCCAGGCTGAGCATCTGGCCAGTCTCGGTGAGCCGCTTATTCAAGAGAAAAATTGAGAGAAAAAAAATGCAGCTTATCATTAAAATGCAGAAACTTAGACTTCGCCTTATTCTGTTAACAGTCATTTTGGCCAGAGCCGTTCAGACATTCCATGTGGATATCCCATGCCAATGATGTTACTGAAATGCTCCCACACACTGAGTTCAGTTATGCCATACCCTTCGATCGTCTTTTGCATGTCTCCATTCGAGTGATCTTTTATTTTCTCGTGAATTTCATTCACTAATACGCGAGACATTTGCCTCTTGCTGGTAAGGTAAACATCACAATCTGTCCATCGGATTTTGCTTTCTTAACATGATTACAATGCAACTTGCTCAGTTGAGAAGTGTTTGATTACTTTTATGGACAGGATGCTTGCTAGAAAAGTTTTCTGAACCAAAATTATCCAGTAACAGTTTTAGTAGGCTAAAGTCTTACTCGTTATCGAAAAAAACGACTAAGAACGGCACACTGTACTGAAAGCATTGTTTGTTCTATTGCTGTTTCAGTGTCACAGTTAGCGTTTCAATGTTTCAATGTCAGCTTTTGTCAACGACTACATTTCACTTCCTTACTTTATTAATACCTCCAACGTAGAAGTACTGAAGAAAGTGGTTACGTTCCTTTGAAAACGTAAAACTAGCTTCTGCTAGCAGTTATTTGATGCTAGCTGTGTTTTGTCAAATTCCCCGAATAATATTTCTTGGAGGGACCAGAAAGAAAATTCGAAGTTCAATGGAGTAAATGGGTCCAAATTAATTTTTTGCTTCAGTCTAAATATTTTTGAAAAAAACTGAATGAAATTTGATGTATGCTATTAGGTTTTTGTTTTTGTAATCTCATTTGATTATAACTGGCACAAATTTTACACTTTGATACAACTAATTTGGCGCCAAAGCAAAGAGTAAAAAATTTAAAAGGGCTGGTTTCTCATCCTTTTTGCTTCCAGCTTTTCTCATCATTCAGTACAGCTGCTAATTGATGATAGGTATCCCCTCTCTTTCATCACATATGTTTGAAAATATTTCGGGAAAGTTTGCCTGCTGTGTGTGTACTTTCGCTGATTACGGTTAATCGTCTTGAGTAACGACTCAGTGTACAGTGGACTTGAAATAGATCCATTTGTTCTGCACTAACAACTAATTCATTTATTGAAAACAGCTTCCACAATGAAAGTTCAGTCTATTCACTTCCAGGATTTGTCGTTAAAATGCTGAATATGGTATTAAATTCATAGTGAAAATCTGTATGCCAGTAGGGCAACCAGTCTTTCCATGAGTTCGTTCATTCATTTTGATGGTAAATTAGTACTGGTATATGATAGGAAGAAGAGCAACCTGTTATCAGTGTGCCTCTAAGCAACCCTTGAAAGAGGGAGCCATCGACACCCCTGCCAGAGCGTGATTACTGTTGATGCATGCTACCGTTCGGGCAACTTCCGAGTGCTCCATCTCAAAGAGATCGAATAATTTCGATTTTTAAAGTAAAAATTTCAGAATGTATCAATTTTCATGGAGCGCGGATGCGTCTGTCTTAGTAGTCTGGTATCTGAACAGCATGCATCAGCTGACAGCTTCCTCTTCCGAGAGTTGTCTAGTTTCGAGCTGACTGCGGTAAACATTTCACAATGTGTGGCAATACCAATTTCGCATTGCTGAACGAATCGTGGAGGGGTCGGTTTCCCAACTGACGGGATCAAGACGTTGAGCGGAGCCTCAGAGCAACGCCACCGTCACAAAAATTAAAATAATTGGCCAACGCACGGCCTGCCCGTGCGAAGATGCGTTTTTTGCATGGTTCCCCGCAG